GCCCGTAGCTTCCTCACCCCAAATCCAAATTTTGGGGTCCCTGGGGATGCTATCGGGGCCCTCTTGGGGCCGTTTTGGAGCTCCGTAGGGCTCCGCAGGGCTCAGTAGCGCTCCGTGGCGCCCGTAGGGCTCCGCAGGGCTCAAGTGCGTTGTGGATCAACTCGCCCGTGGCCTCCGAATCCGGGCCTAACTGATTTGGATCTTAAGCCCGAGCTGTCTGAATGCAGAACTCGCCCTGGAGCTGGTCGCAATGGAGGGTGGTCTTGCTGGGGCGTGGTGGTGCCCCTGTGACTTATCGATCGGGTCGTGCTGGGGTGTGGTCGTGCTGGTGCTGGGGTGTGGTCGTGCTGGGGTGTGGTCGTGCTGGGGTGTGGTCGTGCTGAGGTGTGTTCGTGCTGGGGTGTGGTCGTGCTGGGGCGTGGTCGTGCTGGGCTGGTCGTGCTGATTGTGGTCATGCGTTGTGAGGTTTGCCCCCCCCCCCCCCCCCCCCCCCCCGTTTTTTTTTTTTTTTGGGGGGTGGGCCCCCCCTTGGGGGGGGGGGTTTTTTTTGGGGGGTGGGTCGTGCTGTGGTTAGGTCTGGGGGGCTGGGGTCGGGCCGTGCTGGGGTGTGGTCGTGCTGGGGTGTGGTCGTGCTGGGGTGTGGTCTTGCTGGGGTGTGGTCGTGCTGGGGCGTGGTCGTGCTGGGGTGTGGTCGTGCTGGGGTGTGGTCGTGCTGGGGTGTGGTCGTGCTGGGGTGTGGTCGTGCTAGGGTGGGGTCGTGCTGGGGTGGGGTCGTGCTGGGGTGGGGTCGTGCTGGGGTGTGGTCGTGCTGGGGTGTGGTCGTGCTGGGGTATGGTCGTGCTAGGGTGGGGGCGTGCTGGGGGGTGGTCGTGCTGGGGGGGTGGTCGTGCTGGGAGGTGGTCCTCAGAATTCAGGTCCCCAGGAGAGGACAATCTATAACACAAAACAAGCGTTTCGCTCGAGACATCCTCACCATTTTCTGAAAAACAAGCGTTTCGCTCGATACATCCTCAAATTTTAATTCGCCGGCAATTCGCCGGCCTCCTTCGACCTCGTTATTTATCAAGGAAAAAATTCGCCGGCAATTCGCCGGCCTCCTTCAAGTTGGCACCGGGGGACAGGTTTACCCACTAAAAGAGAACCCTGGGCTCGAGCCCTTTCCGGGAAAAAACATGATGGACCCACGAACCCGGAAAGGGATATAGACATGTGGAGCATGGACACGTTTTCACGATACCCAACTGGGCAACACCTCACGAAACATCCCACGAGACACCTCACGAAACAGCCCACGAGACACCTCACGAAACATTCCACGAGACACCTCACGAAACATTTCACGAGACACCCCGCGAAACATTCCACGAGACACCCCACGAAACATTCCACGACGACAGGCAACCACTCCACCAAGGCGGTGTGGTCGTGCTGGGGAGTGGTCGTGCTGGGGTGTGGTCGTGCTGGGGGGTGGTCGTGCTGGGGTGTGGTCGTGCTGGGGGGGTGGTCGTGCTGGGGGGTGGTCCGTGCTGGCCAGAAGCGTGGTCGTGCTGGGGCGTGGTCGGGCTGGGGCGTGGTCGTGCTGGGGCGTGGTCGTGCTGGGGCGTGGTCGTGCTGGGGTGTGGTCGTGCTGTGGTAAGGTCGTGCTGGGGTGCGGTCGTGCTGGGGTGTGGTCTTGCTGGGGTGGGGTCGTGCTGGGGTGTGATCGTGCTGGGGTGTGGTCGTGCTGGGGTGTGGTCGTGCTGGGGTGTGGTCGTGCTAGGGTGGGGTCGTGCTGGGGTGGGGTCGTGCTGGGGAGTGGTCGTGCTGGGGTGTGGTCGTGCTGGGGTGTGGTCATGCTGGGGCGTGGTCGTGCTGGGGTGGGGTCGTGCTGGGGTGGGGTCGTGCTGGGGTGGGTTCGTGCTGGGGTGCTCCGCACCCTGGGATTTATCGATCGGGTCGTGCTGGGGTGTGGTCGTGCTGGGGTGTGGTCGTGCTGGGGTGTGGTCGTGCTGGGGTGTGGTCGTGCTGGGGTGTGGTCGTGCTGGGGAGTGGTCGTGCTGGGGTGTGGTCGTGCTGGGGGGTGGTCGTGCTCGGGGGTGGTCGTGCTGGGGGGGTGGTCGTGCTGGGGGGTGGTCGTGCTGGGGCGTGGTCGTGCTGGAGCGTGGTCGTGCTGGGGCGTGGTCGTGCTGGGGTGTGGTCGCGCTGTGGTGAGGTCGTGCTGGGGTGTGGTCGTGCTGGGGTGTGGTCTTGCTGGGGTAGGGTCGTGCTGGGGTCGGGTCGTGCTGGGGTGTGGTCGTGCTGGGGTATGGTCGTGCTGGGGTGGGGTCGTGCTGGGGTGGGGTCGTGCTGGGGTCTGGTCGTGCTGGGGTGTGGTCGTGCTGGGGTATGGTCGTGCTAGGTGTGGTCTGGCTGGGGTGGGGCCGTGCATGGAAACAAGCGTTTCGCTCAAGACATCCTCAAATTTTAATTCGCCGGCTCGTTATTTATCATGGAAAAAATTCGCCGGCAATTCGCCGGCACGTTATTTACCAGGGAAAAAATTCGCCGGCAATTCGCCGGCTCGTTATTTATCAGGGAAAAAATTCGCCGGCCTCCTTCAAGCAGGCACCGGGGGACAGGTTTACCTAGTAAAAGAGAACCCTGGGCCCGAGCCCTTTCCGGGAACATGATGGACCCACGAACCCGGAAAGGGATATAGACATGTGGAGCATGGGCACGTTTTCACGAGACCCAACGGGGCAACACCTCACGAAACATCCCACGAGACACCTCACGAAACATCCCACGAGACACCTCACGAAACATTCCGCGAGACACCTCACGAAACATTCCACGAGACACCCCGCGAAACATTCCACGAGACACCCCACGAAACATTCCACGACGACAGGCAACCACTCAACCAAGGCGGTGTGGTCGTGCTGGGAGTGGTCGTGCTGGGGTGTGGTCGTGCTGGGGGGTGGTCGTGCTGGGGTGTGGTCGTGCTGGGGGGGTGGTCGTGCTGGGGGGTGGTTGTGCTGGGGCGTGGTCGTGCTGGGGCGTGGTCGTGCTGGGGCGTGGTCGTGCTGGGGTGTTGTCGTGCTGTGGTGAGGTCGTGCTGGGGTGTGGTCGTGCTGGGGTGTGGTCTTGCTAGGGTGTGGTCGTGCTGGGGTGTGGTCGTGCTGGGGTGTGGTCGTGCTGGGGTGTGGTCCGTGCTGGGGTGGGTCGTGCGGGGCGTGGTCGTGCTGGGGCGTGGTCGTGCTGGGTGTGGTCGTGCTGTGGTGAGGTCGTGCTGGGGGTTGTGGTCGTGCGGTCGTGCTGGGGTGTGGGTCTTGCCCGGGTAGGGTCCGTTGGCTGGGGCGTGGTCGTGCTGGGCGTGGTCGTGCTGGGGCGTGGTCGTGCTGGGGTGGGGTCGTGCTGTGGTGAGGTCGTGCTGGGGTGTGGTCGTGCTGGGGTGTGGTGAAGTCGGGATTTCAAAAACAAGCGTTTCGCTCGAGACATCCTCAAATTTTAATTCGCCGGCCTCAAAAACAAGCGTTTCGCTCGAGACATCCTCAAATTTTAATTCTCGGGCTCGTTATTTATCAGGGAAAAATTCGCCGGCCTCCTTCGACCTCGTTATTTATCAGGGAAAAAATTCGCCGGCCTCCTTCAAGCAGGCACCGGGGGACTTGTTTACAAACTAAAAGAGAACCCTGGGCTTAAGCCCTTTCCGGGAACATTGGCATTCGGGCCGCGTCGTCTTGGCGCACTTCAGCGACAGCGGCGGCCGTTGCGCGCTGGGACGAGCCAGCGCCAACCAGCGCTACGCGCGCGCGGGCCTGATTGCCCGCCGAACTACCGATCAGTCGCGCAAGCCACGCCTGCAGCTTGGCACCCTCAACTTTGGATGAGCGCAACAAAAACTGCGCGCATGCAATGCAGCGGAGATTAACCCAGAAATTCGCCAGGGATTCCTGAGACCGCGGCGGGGCCCAGCAGGGCAAAGCCCGTCTGAAAGAAACCCAGTGCAACTAACAACCAGACTGGGCGCATCGCAGCTGCGCGTCGACTCGAAAGTCCGCGACAACTCGCCCTGCGCGGGGCTCTCGCGGAGGCACGGCGCGCGATCGGACTGTCGCAATCGCGCGGCCATGTGACAGCCCGCCATGCCCTCCGCGCGCGCTGGCCCTTCGCCAGCGCCGAACCCCATCGAACCTTGGTGGAACAAAATTTTGGTTCCTTGTTTAATTTCAGAGTAATGTGATTTCGTAGACGATCTGTCAATCAAGGCCTGGGACGGGGAGCGGCCCGGGGCGACGAGGCTGGCCCTGGGGCAGGGGCCGGTATCTCTCCGGGGCCCCCGCGTCGACGGGGGCCGCGCGTCGGACCTCTGGGGTTCTCCGGCCCTGGCCTCGCGCGCCCCACGCTGCCTCCCAGACCCCCTCGAGTGATGAAAGCATCGGGAGGTTTCTCGGGAGGTTTCTCCTCATTGTCAACCTCGGGAGGCCCCCGCCGGGCCCCGGGAGCGCCCACAAAACGACTCAGGATGCAGAGCCGGTCATGGGGGAAGGGTCGGGACCTCCTGGGGGTCGACGTAATGAACAAATCCTTACGTCGGGGGTCTAGGCAGCCTCTCCGCCTTCGCCCTCCCGCGCTGCGAAGCCATCGCGACGGGAGGTCTTCCGCCCTTCTCGGCCCCTGCAGAGGGCGCCCTCGCCCGGCCCCCAGCGGCCGTCAAGGGACGACCCATGGGATGCAGAGCCCGGCCCCGGGGGGAGGGGGTCCAGACCTCTGGGCGTATCGACGCTGCGCAGGAAGCACGACGTCGGGGGTCTGGGCCCCTCCCACGCCGAGAGGGCCCACCGGCGGGAGGCGGCCTCGGGATCTGGCCGCCGGGGCAAGCGACCGGCCAGGTGGCCTCCCTGATATTGTCTCGGGCTGCTGCTGCTCCTCCTGCTCCCGCCCCTCCCTCTTTTGGAAGCCTCCGGACGCCTGTGGGACTCGTGGGGGGCCTCGGAAACCCGCGCGACTTCGCGCGGGGGGCGCCTCTGGGAGCCGCCATGGAACACGCGTGCGCCCGCCGAAGCCACCGCCGCACCACCGCCCTGCCCGGGCCGGGGAGGGCCTTGGCCCGGGTGACGGTCCCGATCCGACGTCGTGATTTTTTCGATACGGGGCCCCCAGAAGTCTCGACCCATTCCCCGGGGCCGGTTTCGCATCCCGAGTCGTTTTTTGACGGTCCCGGGGCCCGGCGAAGGCCCCTCGAGGCTCTACGTTTCAATACCAGCTTCGGCTCCGCGTGTCGCTTCGACAGTCCTGGCCCGCCGCACCTCGGCGCAGCGCGCGGCCCGCCGCGCGGGGCGGAGCCCTCGCGCTGTGCGATGGCGAGGCATGTGGCGCGCCGCCGCGGCCACCCGCTGAGCAACAGTTCCTGACCGCAGGTGCCTCCTGGGTACATAGCCCGTGGTGCTGTTCTGGCCCGAGCTGCGCGAGCGGAGCTGCCCTCGCCCCGCCCTCGGCCGGGCCCGCAGGCATCTGACGACGTGCTCTTTCGGTGCGCGGCCGGGTCCCGACCGCTGCCCCCCCGGGGAGCAGTTGTCCGCCCCGGGCCCGCTTCTGATGGCCCCGGGGCCCGATAGCGGCCCCCACGGGGCCGAGAACACGAGGACCGGCGGCGGCCGCGGGGCCGAACAGCTCACATCGTCCGACATCTGGCATCTCGGCACCCGGGCCAGCATGCTCGTCTCGGTGGTGGCGTGCAGCGGGCGCGAGCTCGCGGCCGTGGAGGCCTCGGGGGGAGCTCTTTCCCTCGGGCACCCGATCGCCCACCCCAACGATCTCATCACAGAGGTTCTCCTCCCTCCTCCCTTCTCCCTCCTCCTCCTCCTCCTCCTCCTCCTCCTCCTCCTCCTCCTCCTTCTCCCCCTCCTCCACCTCCTCCTCCTCCTCCTCCTTCTCCTCCTCCCTCCCCTCTCCTCCCACCTCTCTCCTCTCTCTTTCCTCCACCCTCCTCCCTCCTCCCTCCTCAACCCTCCCTCCTCCCTCACTGCCTCCTCCCGCCTCCCTCCCCCTCCTCCCTTCTTCTACCTTCTTCTACCTTCCTCCCTCCTCCTCCTCCCCGCCTCCACCTTCCTCCGCCTCCTTCTTCTTGGCTTAACCTCCCTCCCGCCCGTCCTCCCTCCCTCCCCCCTCCCTCCCCCCTCCCCTCCTCTCGCCTCCTCCTCCTCCTCCTCCTCCTTCGCACTCCTCCTCCTCCTCCTCCTCCCTCCTCCCTCCTCCCTCCTTCCTCCTCCTCCACCTCCTCATCCTCACCACATCCTCATCCGCATCCCTCATCCCCACACTCTTCCGCCTCCTCCCTCCTACTCCTCCCTCCTCCTCCTCCTTCTCCTCCTCCTCCTCCCTACCTCCTCCTCCTTCCTCCTCCTCCTCCCTCCTCCTCCTCCTCCTCCTCCTCCTCCTCCTGCTCCTCCTCCTCCTCGTCCTCCTCCTCTTTCTCGGGGCCCCCCTTGGCGGCGCCCCCGGCGCCGCCCCTGGCTTTCTCCGCGCGCCGGGGAGGGGGGGCCAGCGCCGAGCCGAGCAATCCGCGCGGACCTCCGGAGGTTTATGCCGATGCCGATTGTGTTCATGATCGCATCGGGAGCTTCTCGGAGATAGTTTTGGGGCATCCTGGGGACTGTTTTGGGGGACTCCTTGGGGGCCTCTTAGAGCCCTCTTGGTGCCCTCTTGGGGCCTCTCACCTCTTGGTGCCCTCTTGATGACTCCTGGGGGCTTCTCAGGGGCATCTCAGGGGCCTCCTGGGGGGCCTCTTGGAGGCCTCTTGGTGCCCTCTTGGGGCCTCCTGGGGGCCTCTTTGGCGGCGGGGCTTCCTGGGGGCCTCTTGAGGCGGAAGGTTTGATTTTTCGGTTCGTCCCATAACTTGGGGGCCCCCTGCTGGGCTCTCGGGTCGTCGGGGAGCGATCTGTGGGGCCTCTTGGGCCGTCTTGGAGCGTCGGAACGCCGAAACGGCGAGAGGGCCCCAAACCGTCGAGAACTTGCGGTGAGCACGATGCCTGCCTCTTGGGGCCCTCCCGGGACGCCTCGCGGAGCACTCTTGGGGCGTCTTGGGGGCCACGTGGCCGTCTTGAGGCCATCTTGGGCGTACTGCGGCCTCCTGGGGCCGCCTCGAGGGCCCCTGGGGCCGCCTCGAGGGCCCCTTGGGGCCCCCTGTGGGCCCGAAGAGAAAGTCGCGCACCTCCCCGGGCCCGGCGACGGGCCCTGGGAGGTGCGAGAATTGGGGGCCCGGGGCCCCTGATCTCAAGTCGGGCCTGCCCCTTCGGCAGAAGGAAGGCTCCCAAACGGGGACGACTGTTCCCAGACATGCTCGCGTCGTCAAAACATGATGGACCCACGAACCCGGAAAGGGATATAGACATGCGCAGCATGGTCACGTTTTCACGATACCCAACTGGGCGACATCTCACAAAACATCCCACGAGACACCCCGCGAAACATCCCACGAGACACCTCGCGAAACATTCCACGAGACACCTCGCGAAACGTTCCACGAGACACCCCGCGAAACATTCCACGTGACACCCCACGAAACATTCCACGAGACACCCCACGAAACATTCCACGAGACACCCCACGAAACATTCCACGGGGGTGC